TTCAACAGCAACATCAATCTGATATGTACACCAACTGTTGGTGCTGGAGCTAATTTTATTTCTTCATGGCATAGTGGCACCACTAGCCCTTTAACCCGTGCTATGCAGCGGGTTTTTAATTATAGTTTTTCTAGGAAGATTTAAACATGGCAGATAATAAAATTGTTTCCTGTAATAGCAAATGGATTCAGAAATTGAATAAAGATGGCAATTTCAATCAATAGATAACAATAGAACAAAGTAAAAAAGAAAAGCATCTACTTAGATGTCAATTAAGTCGCTGAAAATAATCTTAAACGTATGAAAAAGTTGATTCAAAACATTGAGCACAGGAGATTTCAGAGCATGGCAAAGCCCTTCATATTCAAACAAAAGTAATAGCCCTTCAACATGCATATCATAATATTTTAATAACAATTAACAAAATAGATGAAGTGGACGTGAGCAAACAGGTTTGCAAGCCTCGACAACAAAGCAAGGAACTTTCTTCTTTGGGCTTGCAGAATTCTTATCACATTGGTTGCATGTTAGTCTCCCAGCATCGAGTGTGGAAAAGTTAAAGTGAGATAGTAATGGAAGACAAAAAGAGAGTGACTAAATAATTACTAAAAAACATCGTGGACGGAAGGAACACCAATACGAGCATCAAAGAAATGACAGTGATCAGTGGAACACGAAGCATGTCTGGACTTTGGATATATTAAGGGGGGTGCATGTTTGTAAATATTTGTGTTAACAGGTAAGAACAAAATTTGCTTGAGAAATATCATGCAATGAAGCACACATCATGTCACTGCCCTTCTGAACCAGAGTCGTGTTTATGTCAATATAATGAATGAAAATGGAAATAACAACGTGTGTTTATTTGAGGTGTTAGCTGACATCATGAATTGTTGTGAAAACATTACAAAAATGAAAAACAAAGAGTAGAAATACAGCAATAAAATCTAATTGGATTATAAATGATGGTGCGGCAGAAAATGATAGTGAAGAGAGCCAATAATGGCTAGGTTGCCCATTGTTGAATCACAAAGAAGTATGCATTGGATACAAAATAGATCAAAAAAAAAATATGAATGACAAATGTAGAGGAAAAAAGGGTGAGGACTGAGGAATGTGTTAAAAGGGTGAAACCTTTGAAGGAGATGAAACTGCAAGGCGAGCTTTTTTTAGCAGGTGGCTCAGCTGGAGTGTTGCTTTCAATGGAAGCATAAGTTAGTGATAGAATGATCTCGGTTGTGAGCGATCCCGCTTGCACCGTAATGCTGCCAACAGGATAAGATTGTTAATTTAGTGACTTATCACATGTGCAGGATCCAATTTCAATGAAATGACATAAATGTGAGAGTGAGAAGTCTCTATGCTGAAGGGAGCAAAAGACATGATAGGTCATAGAAAGTTTTGTATCAATGATTACAAGCATGAAGCTAGATTAAAAGGTCTGAATTGAAGAATGCAATCAAATGCTTAAATGAGTCATGTTTGTTTTGAATTAAATTTTAGGAAAGCCAACAGATTTAAAAAGGCATTATTTTGAGAGGTCGCAAAGTTATAATTCAAAATACAAAGGTATGTGAAAGGCATGAAATGGCTTTCAAAAGCCTTTCATTTCATAAAATTCACCTTCATTAATGTTTGAGGTAAAAAGTAGGCAACATCTCTAGTTTTTGTTGACCCTTCTATTGCATCTCCCTGTAATTATTTCTATGTTGGAATGAATTGAGCAAGACGATGAGATGTCAGAAAGTAGTAGTGCAAGAGATGACAATGCAACGAATTGATTGGATGAGGTCACATAATATATTTATTAACTATGGAATTAGATAATATAGGAGTAACAAATTTATAAATAAAAGTTGTGCCAATAAAAGTAATAATTCTTTTTCTCAAATCATGCAATGGAATATTGCTTGTATGATATAGAATTATAAACTAAATTTCATACTCACACTAAGAGTTAAGTTGGAACACTCATCAATAAGTGAAAAATTATAAAGGAAATGTGTTCTCAGTGCTTGTTTAAAATGTAAGGCCTAGGAAAATTAAAGTAGCAGCATTTAATTTTACAGCAAATTATAATAAGCAAAACATAGTGTCTAAAATTATAAATAAAAAATAAAATTAAAGCTTATAAAATTTGCAAGGCAAAATAAAAATAAAAATAAAAATAAAAATTATATGAATAGTTTAACTTATGAAAAAGCAACAAACTTGTTGATCTACAAAGAGGCAATTAAAGCTGCTGTTCATGCCATTTTGTTTAGGAATCGAAGCACAACATGCTCTTGCTCGGATCAATTGGCAAAAAACATATTTCTTAATGTTTTTCACAGGAACGACCATTAATTCTAGAACTTCTAATTGTGTCAGTTATAAGGCCTCGGTTACCTAATTGTTTCCTGTTAACTAATTGTCTTGTGAGAGGAGAAGTTGATTCTAGAATCCAAACTGCATAAAGCCCAGATCTTGAAATGAATTTTAGTTAAAAGTCTGAATTCTCAGGTTGATTTTGGAGGGGTGGGTTCGTGGATTATCTGGTGCATTAATGGTGAAATAAAATGACTTAAGGAGCAGCCGGCAAAAAACAGTAGAAAGAACAAACAAAAGATTAAAATGAAACAACAATGAGAGGAAAAACAGGGACAATGAGGAGCACCAAGCAAGAACTGTGACAGAGCACCTATAGAGAAAAGCTTCAGTTCCAGCCAACAGATAGCTAACCAGCTCCTTCGTGGAACGACGCACACAACTTCAGCCTGCACGTTCAATGAAAGAAACCTGAAACAGTGAAACGACGCTCAAAAACATCAAGAAAGGACACAATAACTGAACCAAAAATGCCGAAATAGTGGAGATTATGATGGAAAAAAAAAAAAAAAAGCTCATCAAGAACAATGACTATCATAAAAGCGAAAAAAAATCAAACCACCAGATCTCAGAGAAGAAAACCCACCCAAAAAAACAAAGAAGAGAAGCAAGCAAAGAGAACAAACTCCCTAAGAAAAGATATGAAGGAGCAGGAATCCCAAGGAAAAAGCTTGGCAGCCAAATAAAAAAACAATCAAACAGGACCGGAAATGACATGAGACCCAACGAAAAATTTAAGGAACGAAACTAGAACAGCGTGAAAGACAGATCTGGTCCCAGTAAAAAAGCCAAAAAAAGCATAATAAAAACAACAAAACACTTAAAACCCCAAGAATTTTTGTCCAGACAAAACAAAGGTCTAATCCAACCCAGAAACCAGCAGCTTCTCCAATGCTGTCCTGTAGACAAAACCCTGCCAGGTGAACATAATATTTAATGCACAATCATGCTTATGGGTCCGCTTCTTTGAAAATCAGCCACGACCAAGCCACAAGCATCACTGGCACCAAAACCCATCATTGACTTGCGTAGAAGTTCAAGCGACCCAGCCGCTGGAAACACCATAAACAAACAGCTCAACAAACAACCCATGCGCGCAAACAACCCAAATCAAGCCTTTGATCATGGAACAAAAACCCCTGAGGCGCGCCACACTGGGAGAGAAAGCCAGAGCCAACCGATCTCTGATCATGGCACAACAAACCCCTGAGGCGTGCCACGCAGCAAGACAAAGCCAGAAAAATAAGAACGTGACAGACAAAATTAGGCAGGAACCCGTGTGAAAGAGATAAAGGCTGAAGCACTGTTGAATTCCACAGTAATTAGAGTGTTGGTGCACAGTGAATAAACAGTAAAGGATTCTCAATAGGAAAGGAGTTACCCTCGTTGTAACTCCCAAGTTATCACGGTGGACTAAAATGCTTCGGCCAGCCTAGCCCGTTGCCTTTTCTATTGAAATGTTAAGAGAGCAAAAGATCTGGCAACTCGATCCAACTTGTTGTCATGGCCGCAAACAAAGCTTTTTCTATCAACTACGTGTATTACTGTACTCGGCAGCATTGTTGGCCTATTCCGGACTACCTCTGCTCTTGCCTATTCCAGGCTTGCTGTATAAACTTAACGCAAGTTTATACAACACATAAGTAAATTTATATAGCAATTCTCAAAGGGAACAAGACCCGTACCTGTTGATGGTTAAAAAAAACTACTGGAGAGGAAAAGGTGAAGAAGCCTTCTTAAAAAGTGCAACTTATCACTAATTAGATGGCAGAAATTTAGAATTATCAGATTTCTGGACTTCTCCATTCCTCTGTGAATATATTGGAGGTAAACCTTTGGAAAATGTAGCTTTGTTCTGAACATGGGAGGCAGATGAATATTCCTAATATTCTATCTCCTTAACCCATCAAATCCATCTGGATCGTTTATGAAAGCACTATGGATTCCATTAATATCATTGATTACCAGGGGAAAAAATTGTCCACCGAGAAAGAAAACTGCTAGACTTGAAAATAGCAGGTGAGCTTGTGATGTTCATAACGGATAGCACCATTAATTCTAAGAGGTTCATAAAAAGGAACTGTAATGCAACTGTGAATGTAATTAACTCCATCTTTAATTAATTTTTTGACCGAAGATTAGCGACAGTTTCCTAAAATCTCTACCTTGGTTTTGGTCCACAGTCATTGCTTTTCCATATAAATGGTCCACGCCCTCTTTTGCTGTCAGTCTGTCACCAACCTGCAGCAAGCATTGATTCCAGCTGCAATACATAGAAGGAAAGGGGCAAGTTAAATTTGGTAATAATGAAGGGAAGCAGGGCTCTATTTGTATCATCCTTGTTGCTAATAGCAGCATCGGGCATTGTGTTGGCTTGTTCCAGCCCAGTCGGTTCCCCTCATGCACCTAATCTCGTACCCTTTCTTAAAGGACCAGCACCATTCGCAGGTATAAACCTACCAGGCCTCTTGCCACCGGGAATCAGTCCAGAATGCAAGGTACCTCTTTGGAATGTCCAAAAATGTGTTTCGAAAACCGCTGGACCGTTTCATACTTTAGTATATGGCCATCTCATTGGAGGATGCTGCTCGACTTATTTTAGAGTCCAGGACCATTGCTGGCGTCAATGGCGTGTATTCTATCCTATTGATCTCCACTTTCCTCGGAGATTCAATATATATTGTCTTCATGCAAGGAAAAATTAAGAGAGATGGACCAACGCTGCTAACGGGAATTTCTCCCTGGATACTCTTCCCGCAGTCGGCAAACGACATATGATATTTTTAGTGAACTAGAACAGTTGCGTGGAACTTTAAAAGCACGGTGCTAGTTATTCTGAAGTCCAAAGGTTTTTTGTATTTTCCGGTGAAAGTTCTGACGTTCATGGTTTTTACAGTGCAATAATGAGCCATATCATTAATTACCAGTGGTCTTTCAGCCCTTCACAGTTCGATTTTGCACATAGCAATGTTGTTACTAAACTCGAAATTAAGTTCGCACATTCTCTATAGACAAATAAAGAGTTCGACAAATCTTGCTGAGAAAACATGTGAAAATGCGGTGTTATATACGAAAACTATATATAACTCATTAAGCTGATGACCGAGAACACAGCAATGGTCAAAATACATACGTGTGCAGAAATATACAAGAAAAACCACACCTTCTGTGGTTGTGCAGTTTGATGGAGAAAACACCATCTTCCAGCGTGACGTCTCTCAAAATTCAAATGCCATGATAAAATCTGAGATAAACTACAGGATTGAAAGACCTTCAAGCAGTGGTGTGCAGAATTTAAACAGGTACGCTATGGACTGATGAATAAATTCAGGTAGTCCATATCAACACCAGGCACAGAATAACAAGACCTGAAAAAAAGAAAAAAACGAGAAATATGACATTGATGCATAAATTTGCTGAAGCAGCACTAGTGTATGCATCCTAGATTAACAATGGTCTGGTATCAATACAAAAGAAACACTCAAAAGGAATCTTTACACACTTGTTCTTAGGCCATATCTATGATAAAAATTTTTTTTAATTTTTATGGGGAGAAGATGACCATACAAATGAGAAAGTGATCAGCATAAAAAGTAAATAGAAGTTGAAATCACTTACAGAGTACACAGCAGGGAAGAAAATTCAAAGACTAACAAAGACCCAGCATTCTTAGTTCTGAGACATGACTAGCTCCAAGTTCAGGGACATCCTTGCAAGCTTCTCTGTCTAATACGACGTATTCCTGTCATTTTGGCAGTACCACTGTCATGATACTTTTGGATAAATAAACCAGAGCACAGATAAAATCACGGGGTTCAGAAATACAAAGCATAAAAAATTCATAAGCATGTAATGAAAAATATTTTCCACCAGGAATTTTTTTTTTGAAGAAAATGAACTAAAATAGAACTGATAAGAATTTTAGCTACTGTTTTTCTAATTAAATTCTACCTTATATTAGCTAACATTACAACTGGTTTAGGGACTCTAAATGCTTTAAGGATGAGATACCAGACCTTTGTAAGTTCTTGCTTGGCAAGAACATGATAGTGTCGCTCATTGATCCTTTGTCCACATATTATAGCAATGAAGAAACCGTAGAGCAAACCCACCAAAACAATTGCTAAAACTGCATAAAAAAATGAACTAAAAATCAGCAAAACTGATAGTGAGCATAAAATTCTCATGAAAAAGGTTGTAGATCTTAAGATGCCACAAGTCATGCCAGAAACAAAATGTAGGACTAGTACCAATAGTTCATCCCGGAAGAAAGGACTCACCAAGCCAGGATCACTAGCTAATCCTAATCTAATACTGATAGAATAGAAAATAATAGAAAAGAACAATCTTTTCTTTGTACTTTCTCCGGTTCTGTTGCTACCGCATGCCTTGCGCAATCGATCGGACCATATAGATAAAAGGGTGTAGATCTGATGATGTCACAAGTCATGCAGTCTTTCAATCTTCCAGCAATAAAAAATAGCAATAGTTCACACAAGCTTGTTCAAATTTTAACAAATTTTCTCAGCAAATTATTTATGTTCTTAACATTGTTATATATATATATATATATATAGTAGAACAGGTTATTGAAAACATTGGCATCAACTGGGTTTTACTTTCAATGTCTGGATTTAACCTCTCCATCGGTCAGACTATGCCTGGCTTGATAATAGTCATATTAATAATTGAATTGGTGTCCCCTCACCAATCATTAATGTTGCTTTTGAATTTGAGTTAATCTATTGGCAAGAAGTTCAGGTTAGTGGCATGGTAAACCGTTAACAAATCTATGATATAAAGCTGGTTTTTACACAACATGACATCTCACATTAGGCACTAACATCAATGGAGCCTAACTGCAAATCTCCACCTTCCAAATTAGATTCTTTCTTTTCCTAAAATTCCATCAAACTAAATGCATGTAGTGAAACAATATGATAACAGCACTTCAGATTGAAAAGAAAGGCATCGTAAAGTTTAAATGGGAAACTTCTTCGGAGAATCAGCAACTTTAGACATAAGAAAAATCAATTATATAGCTTCTTGTCCTTTTCTTATTGCAGGAAAATGAGTTTCGTTCTTTTAACATTATTCTGGAGTTGCTCAGGTGATTTTGTGATTAGAAACACTTTCCTACATCCTTATCTTCTTCAAATCAAGCTGCATTTTGGGGGAAAAACTCAAGGAAAGCTGATTGAGAAGCAAAACATGCAAATATTTACAAGCAAACCATGTATAATGACAGCAAAGAGAGTAAAGTCAATCAAAACAGGGTTCTGCATACCAGCCATAGTATAGAATCCATAGGGATGCTCTTCATAGCCAAACATTTCCCTTAGTTCCTCCCCATAGAACTTGTACACCAGCACACCCAAGAATGCAACAACCTGTTTGGTAAATCAATTTATTAACTTACCTACAAAGAAAAACAAATCTAATGATAAAACAATATTTGACCAATCATCTCACCAAATCAATCCCTTATGCGCGACAGGTAAAAGCACATAGATCTTCCAAAAGAAAATGACAGAATATCAACATGCAAAGATTTGCATCTTGGTCGTGGGAAACTAAACTGCTAGAAAAGGGATCCTTTAAATTGTTTTGAAAAAAACAGATGAGAAAAAAGTTTACTAGCTCACATTTTTACCTCCATATTTGTTCATATAGTTCTTAAGCAGAATATCAATGGAAATTTCCGAACAAAGACACCTTGGGTCCACTAATCACAGGTACATGCAATCACACTTGTAATTGTGCATGCACATGTGTGCGTACGAATGCATGTCTTTTATCAGCTGGGATTCGTTAAACTAATTAGGTCTGTTTAGTTTCACACCAAAAAGTACAATTTCCATAGCTGAAGTGACTTCCAGCACCAAACTCCACTAAAGAAATGAACTTAATAATAATGCAGCTAAGTGCACGGAAAGCATTACATAGGGCAATGATAACAGTGCCTACAATTTCAGAAGAGCACTTTGTAGTGTATGCTATTGCAGAAAATCATGTCAATTCTAGACGGAAGAAACATACCGGTGATACCCACAATAGTGATACCTAATCAACATCCAGATTATGTTACCAAATTTAACTAATATGAAAAGGATGGTGACCTTACCAGCTGAACTACTATGAAAATTAATGCATGATCCCTTGCAACAAGGAAGTGAAACTTCAGTCTCAACCACCACCGGTCAGCTGGGACATTTGCCCGCAATATAAACATTGCTCTGCATTCTGTACAGTGAGCAAAAGCAAAGCCCTCCTGAAAATGGATAACAGGAATTAATCATTGAATCAAGATGTAAATTTACTATTATCACATGCATACATGCATGCAATGGCAAGTTACAAATAAACATCTTAAGGGTCTGAAGGCTTGACATGATTTTCCTAATTCTCAAAGTTCCACACATATCATTCTGTAAATCAGGAAAAAGGTATGTCAGGGATAAACGAGTATTTACCTTAGTTGACCTCCAGTTATCAAGACATGATCTATGGACATGCTTCTGAGTGCCTTTGCAATGACATGGTGCAATCAAGTCTTCCCCTGAGATAAAATTAGCATAGATTTCATCAGCATTAGAAAGAAAAAAACAGATAATAGAAAAGGAAACACCAATTTACACACACAAACTACTTGCACTCCCGAACTATTCACTAGTTTTTTCAGAAATAAACAAAAACCCTCCATGTCAAATGATGATCTCAAAACTTAAGGAACCTAAAAAAAAAGGGCACCAAGCACAGTAAATAGAAAAGACCTCCAATATCAAGGCATATACGGCACTGTGGCTGCTCCGGATTCACCAGATGGCTAGTTTCATCGATGCAAATACTCTCTAACTCAGCAACATGAACATCACAATCCCTTCCTAAGGATTTAATTTCACGAGAGGATGATGATTCTTCTTCAGAATGCTGCAAAATATTAGATTGAGATAAGATGGGTTCACTTTCCGAAACATCTTCCTTGAGACTATCATTTGATACTAATTGCATTGTGAACAATATCGAATCAGGATAGAGCTTCCAACGTCATTGCCAGACCTACAATGTGAACAGAACATCTCAGCTGAAACAATGCGACCTGCAAGCAAATCAAGAAAAATCAGAGAAGTTACATAAATGCCAAGTCAATAATGACAAGGAAGACGATCATCAATATCAATTATCCATATTTCATACTATACGCAGCACAAAAATGAATAAAAACGCCATCCAAACTTTCCATCCACACGCATTAAAATTACTATATATACAACAAAATTTAAAGAACCCAGTTTTCAGATCCTCTAAACATGTATACTGGAAACTCTGCGATAAAAGAGTTTTGTTTCTCAACAGATTTGTCCATCAATAATGCATATTACATTTGGAGGAGTGTAAACCAATACGTCTCCGGCTTGTGTTTCAATGACTGGTAAGGCGGTCAAGCTCCCTTCGCCTGTCTGGTCCGATCGTTTAGCTGCTCTTTCTAAGAGACGTGAAAGCAAATAAAAAACATAATTGATTGCTCATACCTTTTCATTCTGCAAACAAATACTAGACAGCAGACAGTAAGCTAAAGGTTATACCTTCGTTACACACGCGAAAACCAACATGTAGTTCATTAGGTCAATGGCTTGCAGATTGCAGAAAGGGTCAAAGTTGGCTCAAAATTAGCACACATTCACAGAATTAAACACATTCAGTACTACTCAGCACCAAAAGTTCAATCTTCATATCACCAAAACAAAAAAAGTTTCAATCTTTACACAAGAATCATTGATAAAAACAACATAAAGCCATAAGATTTTGAAAGAAGAGGGAATGTGAAGATGGGTCTAACCTTATATTTAGCAAACATACTTGCATTCCCTTGCTTTGAATTTGAGAGTTTTGAAAGATTTGAGATTTGCCGTTTTAAGGGTTTTCTTGTAGATTGCCAAGTCAATGCAGAGGAGAGCATAGAGACGGAGAAAGGGTGGGTAAAAATTAATCAAAAACAAAGAAGACAAGAACATAAGCTTTGAACTCACCAAAATTATTATTATTATTATTATTATTTATGAGCACTTCTGTTCGATACTAGAATAATCGTCGTCATCTTGTTGCCATTTGATGAAGTACGGTGTCCTTTTATTTATGATGCATGACAGGCCAACTGCTTGAGTCCATGTCATTGAAAGAATGTCAAGTATGACTACGTGTTGTGTTATGAATGGTCTGTGATGCGCGTGTTTTTATGTAGGGGAAGAGTTGTCGTTAACGTTTGACAAAATAGAAGGAAGACACCCCCCAGGAGAGGGAGAGATTTGGAGGGACACGTGCTGAGTGTATCTATCCATCGACATTCGACTACAACAATTAAATATTCTGAAATAATAAAATTCAGTCATTAAATGAAAAATCAATTTGATTATGTCCTTTCCCTTTTGTTTTCAAGGGAAACATCAAAATATACCCCTGGGCAATATCAATTTCATACACAAAACATCAATCTTACTGGTTTCTCAATTATAATTTTAGCTTCTGTTAGAATAATCGAAAAGAAACCGGTGATGTTTATATAAAATGATATCATTCTATATAAAATAAAAGCACAGTTTAGATAAGAATATGGATAAATTGCGTTAAAAATGAGTGAATTTTTTTTTTTTAAATTGATATTGGATGATGAGATTGAGATTACATAAATGGAGGGTATTTATAAAGTTTATCCTGGTTTTTATTAGTACTTGTTCGCTCTAACGTGTCTCCCAGTTGCATTATTATCCAAGTCTTAAACACAAAAAATGTCCGAGATATTGGTCGAGGTGGTAGATTCCACGACAATGATACATTTGGGGCGGCAGAGATGTTTACTTCGTCATGGTCCTCCCATGTTATTGTTTTCTTAACGTTGCACTTCCATTCATTTTCGGATATTGTTCTTCTTCATCAGTTATACTGCAAAGTTCACCGCAAAATTAATTAACTTGAGAAGATTGAGGGTTAAAAGCCTCCTCATTCATAGACCAAAGTACACTTAAATTTCTTTCTTTTATGAGGCATTGTGTTGGCTCGTTCCAGCCGAGTCGGTTCCCCTCGTGCACCTAATCTCTTACCCTTTCTTAAAGGACTAGCACCACCATTCGCAGGTATGAACTAACCTACCAGGCCTCTTGCCACCGGGAATCAGTCCAGAATGCAAGGCACCTCTTCGGAATGTACAAAAGTGTGTTTCCAAAACCGCTGGACCGTTTCATACTCTAGTATCTGGCCCTGTGAATGGAGGATGTTGCTCCACTTATGTTAGAGTCCATGGCCATTGCTGGCGTCAATGGCGTGTATTCTATCCTATTAATCTCCACTTTCATCGGAAAGTCAATATATATTGCCTTCATGCAAGGAAAAATTAAGAGAGTTGGCTGCATCTCACAGAGAACCAATGCTGCTAACGGGAATTTCTCAATGGATACTCTTCTCGCAGTCGGCAAACAACAAGTGATATTTTTAGTGTGCAACTAGAACAGTAATGGAACTTTAAAAGAATGATGTTATAGCTGTTCTGAATTCAAAGTTTTTTGGTTTTTTCTGGTGAAAGTTCTGACGTTCATGTTTTTACAGTGCAACAAGGAGCTATATCGGTAGTCACCAGTGGTCTTTCAGCCTTTCAGAATTCGATTACGCACATATCAATATTGTTACATGACTAAACTCGAAATTAAGTTCACACATTCTCCACGGACATAAAAGAGTTAGCTTAACCTTGCAGAGAAAACATAAAGAAATGCTGTGTGTAAATCAATAAATTTTAAAATACTGTATAACTCAAAATTCAAATGCCATGTTAAAATCTGAGATAACTACAGGATTGATAGGCCTGCAAGCATATAAAAAAAATTATGGATGATAAGTTGTCCCTGCGTACAAGAGTGCAAAATTTAAATGCTCCTGCCAAAAACGAGGAACAAGAGCTGCGGACAAAGCATGAATATTGGCAGTTGAGATGGTAACCGTCGCCAACATTCACAGCAGCTCGGAGCAAGGTCTCTTGCTCTTGAATCTTAGCAGCCTGAGCCTTGTCCAAAGTCGGAAGAGTCGTTGGCCCTTGACGGGTGCCAAACTGTTAGGCTTCACGAGTATCTTCTAATACTTTTTCTGCACTTTCACAGGCTGCTGCAGTCATATCAATTCTAGCCTGCAAAACTAGATAGATAAACTTCCCTGAATACAAAGAAACGATGATGATATACTCGATGCAAAATGAACTCTAATCCTCCTTTAACTTCTCAATTTGAGAGAATATCGGCAAGTTCTGCATCCCCTGCAGCAACTGCTCGCTCTTGGAATTATAATCCACTTCCATCTCTGGCAGTAGTTTCGAGGATAACATAACTGGTAGCACTGTACCACGGGATCCAAAATAATGTTTTCCATGTTAAAATTATGCAATATATGCCAAATTTTGATCCTTTTGAACAAAGCTGTCTAGAAGTTTAGCAGGCAATGGAGAATAGAAGAGATGCGGCGGTAGTGAGTGACGGTTCCTCCTGCATACCATGTCCTCGTACACATGAAATTGACCACATATTTGTCATCAGAGAGTCTAGGAGTGGAAAGCTAGTCCCCCGACTTGGAGTGCCTTTTCTGATCACAATTACCCTGGTGCACTCCCAGGAGAGCAGCATCCATTATACCATGAGGTTGGATGCGAGAACTTCTAATTACTTTAATTTCTTAAATTTCTTTACTCGTCCAAATTATTAATATGTATGTTCGAAGCAAGTAAATACATGCATATCTCAATGAAAAAAGACGAAAGAAAACAAAAATTTCACAGGCATGAAAGCATTTTAGCCGAATGTTATGGAGTTCCGTTTGAGGTTTTCCTGCTGCTAAAGATTCAAACATTACCCCCACAAATGTACTTGGATGCTAAAGCATATTGTTGTGTTTAAGTTTTGTAAGATTGCGGTTTGCAAGGAAACAATGCATGGTATATTCCATAGACGTGTTTTGCATCTGCAAGAAGAGAGTCGATCAGTTTCCGGTTTCAAAAGTAATCTTTATTCCAGCTAAGGATAACAATTCTCAAACAGCTTCTAAGAGTTTCAAATAACTACTCCCTCTTGATTTCCTTACAAAGAGAGGAACAAATGTTTTGTTCATTCCCTACATCCTGCACATCGTTTAGTGGATTTTGTTGCCAGGAAAGATATCGTCACCATCATGACAGAAGTTGTCAGCAATATTTCTCCCCCTCCTGGTGTTTCCCCCTATCTTTCCCTCTTTTCTCTCATGGACTAAAATCGTGTTCTGTGACCTAACTTTTTCTCTGCTGATGCCGAGATTACTGTCTGTGAGCTTGCCCTTTCTTCCGTACCAAGCTCTCCCTCTAACACTCGGCGTGCTTGTATAATGAGCAGATTTACTCTAGTAACAAAACCAAAGAGTGATCAAACTTGTATGTGCTGATATCATTTCGTTTTGCAGGTTCTGTAGCAACCGTATCAGATGCACCGCCCATCCACTACATGGTTAAAATAGAGTTATTTTCGTCACTTTGGAAAAATGCAGTGGAGACATATGAATCAGGGGTTCTTGAAGCTGGAGGCTATAAATGGTACATCTTATTGCTAGTGAATATGTGTCTTTCTTTGTCTTTCCATCTCCAACCGCAGTCATGTTTTATTATGAGAGACCCCTCTCATTTTTATTACCTCCTCCTTTGTTTGCTTTGCAAGGAAATTAGTTCTTTATCCGAACGGAAACAAGAGCAATATTGTAAAAGATTACATCTCTCTCTATTTGTTGAAATTTATTGCCTTAAATTGCTGACGTGTTGCTTGAAGACCAGTTCAGCTTACGTGTTGTTTTTATTTCTGCTATAATAAAGGATTGAACAAGTCCTTAGGTGAATTGTTAGTAGTGGCGAAATGTAAGCCAAACGTGGCAGTAGTGTTACTTAATTTTAGTTTTTCTGTTTATTTTCCTTTTATAAATTAGTGTAATTGATTGCTGTAAAAATAAGCAATTATCCTTATCATTATCCAGTTTTCATGCAATAAACATCCCCTGTTCAAATTCAAATTTCTGGTGTTGATCAAAGTCTTTTATTTTTCTGCTTCTCGGTTCTTTACTTAGCAAAAGTATTTTCACTATTTAGCAATGGTTGACGCAAGTTCTCTTCCACTTGGTTGGGAGGTCAACGTATTTTCCGGTTGTTTTAGCTTGACCAAAACAAGGACAGCTACTTGGTAATTCAAGGCATGTTTTCTAAATCATTACTTTGCAATAGATCCTCAAGCTACTGTCATTAGTTACAGTTTTTGTTTTAGTGTTTATAGTATCACCAAAGTTATGCGTTGTAAATTGGGTGACGGGCAAGATTTACCTGCAATAGTTTTCTTCAATCACTCTGGGTAATTTAGTTTAACTCAAGAGAAAGTGATGCCCCTCTCTGATGTTCTGGCCTTGTTGCCAAGGTTAGATGCAGCAGGAAAGGAAAGACGCTTTCACGGATTGAATCTTCAAAGTGGTTTTGATCAATTCATTAAGCTTTCAACATTTAATGATGCTCGTTATGGATTCGTTCTGGAAGACACTTGTGTGCTTGGAGCTGAAGTATTTGTCTGTGGAGAAAGAAGCAGAGGCAAAGGAGAGGTCTTATCAATGACAAAGGATCCTACTGCTTCCAAGTACGCTTGGAAGATCGTAATGTTTTCGGAGTTGGATGAAAAACGCCAAGAATCACAAATATTCAGCACGGGAGATCATCAATGGTATACTTATTTTATTATTTTAATCTGCAATCTTAATTAAAACATGTTTCGGATGTGCTTTAGGAAGCCGATGTTTCTCTTACATTACGTTATACTCCATGTGCTGGCTTGCCCAAACAATTCGTTAGTGGTCAGAACGAAATTTACTGTTGTATAAGCAAAATCCTGGTAGTGATTCCTTTCTTTTCGAGATGAACACGAGCATAGAAAAATCACCTTCTCATACATTCTTTTCTTCTGTTATCAGTAGTATTTAGTAGTAGCACTTTTCCTTTTTCTTCTACATGTACCGGTTGTTTCAGGAAGATGGTGCTCTATCCTAAGGGAAAAGGTCTTGGAATGGGCACCCATCTCTCTCTGTACTTGGCTCTGGATTTGGCAACCCTCCCTGCTGGTTGCAGAGTATATGCGGATTACACCTTGCGCCTTGTGGATCAAGTCTATAGCAGAAATTACGACTACTATCGTAAAGGTAAGAACACAGATGATCTTTTTGCCGGTTTAACATGTCAATGAGAGAAAAAAAGAAAAAGTTGAGATTGTTTCTTCTTCCTGCAGCTAAAAGCTGGTTTGGTGCCTCAAGCTCAGAAAATGGATGGCAATATTTATTCCCGAGTTTTTATCAGTCTCGCGATTACCTTTTTGCCAAGGACATTTGCATAATTGAAGCAGAGGTCATAGTAATTGGAATTGGTTCTCCCTTTTAGTTATGATTTTTTTTTTCAATCAGAAATATAATGGATATCATGTAAAGAATTTCATCGACTTTACTAATGGGAAGGGACACATGCTCTTGTTTGTTTATATATATATAATTACCCAAATCCTTCACAAAAAGACCATTCAAAATATATTTTTTTTGTATGAACACCAAACAAAATTTTCATACCAGAAAAACTTGAAATTTAACTCAATCACTTACTTAACCCATTGTTTTACGATTTCATTCTAAAAAGTCCGAAATGTGTTCACAGTGTTAAAACGCCATCCAAACTTTCCATCAACACGCATTAAAATTACTATATATACAACAAAATTGAAAGAACACAGTTTTCAGAACCTCTAAACATGTACACTGGAAACTCTGAGATAGAAGAGTTCTGCTTCTCAACAGATTTGTCCATCAATAATGGATATTACATATAACTCCCGGATAAATTTTTATATTTTGATTTATTTTTTTTTAAACAAAGAGGGGACAAATAATTAAATAAATAATAATAATAATAATAATACTAATTTATGAAGTAGAAATTATTATCTAAGAAGGTTAATGTTGGACAAAGATGAAATTAAATAAATCAAACTTTTAGAATAAATAATTTTAAAACAAAACAAAAGGTTCTTGAAAGGGAAAAAAACTTGTAAATATATAAACAAGTGAGGAGTGGGAAATTGGCGGCGGGCTGCATTAGGGCTTAAGAGGTAGAATAAATTGAGTGAAAATTTATCAAAGTTTATTCAATGTAAAAAAAGAAGATAAAACTAGTGATTAAAGTATATTAGAAAGGATTTGAATGAAAAGATCTCAAAAGGAAAATAAGGATTTTTTCCTTGAAGGGGGTTGGCACTGAGAGGTAAATAAGGATGAAGGCGAAAAGAAATTTTTGTAGTAATTTCAAACTTTTCATTTTGTATTTCTTTGAATTAGAAGATAACAAATCATTTCCTTTCAATTAAATTGATGTATTTAGTGTATTAAGATTTCATTTATTTGTATTAGTGTATAGTTATGTTATGAGTTGTAAGGTTGATTGGGTTAATTTATGAAATTGTGATGAATTAATGTTTAAATAAATGAACTAATAGTGGCTAATGTTTTAATTTGTGAAATTGAAGAAAAATTATTGGTTCTTTTTTTTTAGAAGGGGTTTCGGCCAAGAAAAAAAAAGAATGAAAATATTGAATTAATAATTGATAATTAGATGAGTTATGTTGTAATGTTGATGATAAAGAAATTAGATTAGTAATAAGTTGATATTGTTGATTAATAATTAAATGATGAAGAAATTATATTAGTGATGGATTGATATTGTTGATTGATTATTAAATGAGTTATATGGTAATATTGATGATGAAGAAATTATATTAGTAATAAATTGATATTGTTGTTTGATAATTAAATGAATTATGTGGTAATGTTGATGATGAAGAAATCATATTAGTAATGAGTTGATATTATTGATTGATAATTAATTAATGAAGAAATTGTATTAGTGATGGATTGATATCGCTGATTGATAATTAAATGAGTTATGTGGTAATGTTGACGGTGAAGAAATTATTTTAATGATGAGTTGATATTGTTGATTATTAATTGAATGAGTTATACAGTAATGTAATGTATTGATGAAGTAATTAAATTAGTACTGAGATGTTATTGTCGGTTTGATAATTAAAGTGATTTTGTAGGCAAGATGTTAAGGTTAGTGGCATGGTCAACCGATAACACATCCACGATGTAAAGCTGGTTTTTACACAAAATGACTTCTCACATCAGGCGCTAACATCAATGGAGCCTAACTGCAAATTAATCTCCCCCTTCCAAATTAGATTCTTTCTTTTCCTAAAATCCCATCAACCTAAATGCATGCAGTGAAACAATATGATAACAGCACTTCAGATTGAAAAGAAAGGCATCCTAAAGTTTAAATGGGAAACTTCTTCAGAGAATCAGCAACTTTAGACATAGGAAATTGAATTACATAGCTTCTTGTCTTTTTCTTATTGCGGGAAAAGGAGTTCTCTTAACATCATTTTGGAGTTGCTCAGGTGATTTTGTGATCAGAAACACTTTCCTACATCCTTATTTTTTCTGAACCAAGCTGGATTTTGGGTGAAAAACTCAGGCAAGGTTGACCGACAAGCAAAACATGCAAATATAAATTGAGTCAATCAAAACAAGGGCAAAAATTTGCACGGACTGTGGGAAAACCATGGATAGAAAATGACAAACAAAGTATATCAATATGTCTTGATTGTGGGAAACTAAACTGCTATGAAAAGGGATCCTTCAAATTGTTTTGAAAAGAACGGATGAGCAAAAAAGTTTGACAGCTCACAATTCTAGAAGGAAGAAGCGTACTGGTAATACCGACAATAGTGACACCTAATTAATCAGCATCCAGATTATGTTACCAAATTTGATTGGCATGAAAAGGATGGTTGCCTTAGGGGATTAAATATTGCAAAAATAAACATATGGTCCCTAGCAACAAGAAACAGAAACTTCAGTCTCAACCACCATCGATCAGCTGGGACATTTGCCCGCAATATAAACACTGCTCAATGCATAGCAGGAATTAACCAATTAATAAAGATGTAAACTTACTATTATCACATGCATGCATGCTTGCAATGGCAAGTTATAAATAAGCATCAGAAGGGCTGACATGATTTTCCCAAGTCTCAAAGTTCTACGTACACACATCACTATGTAAATCAGGGAAAGGGCATGCCGGAGAGAAACGAGCATTTACCATAGTTGACCTCCAGTTATCAAGACATGACCTATGGACATACTTCTGAGTGCCTTTGCAATGAGATGGTGCAATTAATCAAGTCTTCGCCTGAAATGAAGCTGTGCAGGCTTCAGCCGCATTAGAGAAAAAAACCTCCTACGTGCACTCCAAAACTATATTTATCAAAAACATATTTGCATTTTGAGAGTTTCCGAAAGATTTGAGATTTTTTTGTTGTTTGTAGGGTTTTCTTGTAAGATTACCAAGTTAATGCTTAGAAATAAAAGAGATAAGATCATGATCACTATTATTATTTATTATATCATCGTCATCTCGCTGCAATTTGATGAAGGAACTTCCCGAGAGGGAGAGTTTTGGAGGGACACTTTTTGAGTGTATTTATCCATCTAGTACTGTAGTTTGATATTTTGCATCAATGTCAATGAATAGACAAATCAATTTTATCCTTTTGTTTTCAGAGAAACACCAAGTATAGGATTGGTTCTATATACAAACTATTTTTTATATCAATTTTGCTCCTCAATTATAATTTAATTTGTGTTAACCACAATAATTTAACAAAAAGTGTTAAATTCTACATAAAATAACAGTTTTTTTATAATATAAAAGTAAGATTTAGATTGAAAATATGGATAATGTGAAAATCTTTAAGTAAAGTTTTCAAAAATAAAATCGATTTAAAAAATTATCTAATTGCAAAATTAAGATTACATGGGTGGAGGATATTTTTGAAGTTTATCCTCATATATTTTTATCGATGATTGTTCTCTCTAATCCGTCTATGTGTTCTGTTATTATTATTTAATTTAGAGAAAATGCCCATGACTTACGAGAAGATTCAAGCTTCTAATCCAAGTTAATGTAATTCAAGAAAAACATTGAAGACCCAAAAGGAGAATATGTGAGAGAGAGCATGGAGGTGGTCTGAGAGAATCCACGACAATGATACATTTGGCCGGCAGGGATGTGTAATTACTTGTCATGGTCGTCTCATGTTTTTGTTTTCTTAACGTTACACCTCGGAAAATTCATTTTTGGATACTGTTCTTCTACAAATTAGTTCATCACAAAAAGGGTATCATACCGAGCAGCCATTGAAAGAGCTAACTATGCAGTCGAGTACCACTTAAGATGGAGCATTACAAACGATATCCTAAGTTTGGTCCCCAGATAGAAAACAGTTATTAATGGTGAGTTTCCCAAGTCTCAAGTACTGATGACTAAAATTAAGTCCCCTGTTAAGGGCAGGGTAGCTGACACCAGTGGCGAAAGACCGTTAGGTTTACACCTGCATTTCAAACAAAAGCTCCCGGGAAAGTCCATCTAACAGAGTACAAACAACGACATTAATCTTTCGAGGACTCGGTGATAGAGATAGAGGGAGCTGCAGAAAGGAAGAAATTAAGGGATTCTTCATCCATGGGGTGTGGTGATGTTACTCCATCATCTTCGCCACCAACACCACCATCACCTCTTCCCATAAGTGTTGGACCTGGAAATCGAAAGTACAATTTCTCCTGCTCCTCCTCTCCTTCACCACCCTTTTCCCCTCCTCTTTCTAGCCACACATCTGCTGAAAACCTCCCTCTCTTGCCTCAAAGGTTGGCTAGTACTAAACGGGTGCCTTCAGCATTTTCATTGGAACGACCGGATCCTGATCCATTGGATTCTAAGAGCTCTTGCCTTGAAGACTTGTAAGCATTCCTCCCTTCATCTCATTTGATTGGTTTCTATCTTATATGTATTGAATGTTCACTTCAGTTTTTTCTGCCAGAAACTTCTCTTATTTTTCTTCTTTTTTATCCATTCTCACGTACTAGTATATCTTGCATGGACATTCAAAGAAATGAATCCTTTTCTGTTTCTTCATTCGTTTGGTATCATCTAATCTTAGAGATAAACGAGATTAAATTGTAATGTAAATTCATGTCGAATCTACCCAGCAAACCCCCCCCCCCCCC